TTAAAAAGGGTGAAATTTTACCAAAATAAAAAAAAACATCAAAAAGTTTTTTTTTTATTGGAATTCATTAATTATATTGTATTGTAATTGGCCATTTGTAAATTCGATTAAAATAAATGGAAAAGATTCTTGATTACAATACACTAGTATATGTAGTTTTTGAAATCAAGTCTTCCAACAATATTTCAGAATCTCCAAGGGTATCGATTAAGCCTCATTAAATGCATATCTATTTTTATTTTCATATGAAGCAGAATTCATTTAAAATCTTCCATATTTGCCGCTGCTTGAATTCAACATTAAATAAAGTATCGAAGATGTTATATACTAGTGTGTTTAAAAACTATCTCTATATTTACAAAACCACAATTCAGATCAGAATGAAATTTGGCACACCTAAAGTCATGCACATGTTCTATAAATGAGACGTCACAATGTGAAAATGGCGTCAATATGTAGTTGACTCAAGATTACGAAAAATGGTTGTCACACTTTTACTCGAGTAACGAACGGCTGTCAAGTTTAACGTATAACTTGGAAATTCTTTTTGAAGTATCTTATAATAATCTGCATAATGTTTATAAAGACAATAAACTTTCCAGACGTCCAATCATAAATTGGATTGATTGTTTTAGTGAAGGAAGGGAGATGGTCAAAAATGACGTTTGTTTTGTAGCCAAGTGAAAGCAAGCTGAGATAGAGATGTGTCCGTTGTTGGGCAATTTGCTTTGAAAGATCGCAAAGTTACAGCTAGGAAAATTGTTGAATATGTTAACAATATTATTATTATTAAATTCCTAAAATACCGTTGAATTTATACTTTAAACATATCAAATATAAAAAAAGAAGGCCCCCATATTTACCCCATGTTAACCCCTTTATCCCGTGGATATAGCTTATGTGATATCGTTTTTGTGTCCAAAGGTAACTGCAGTTATGACGTCACAATGGGTTTTGCGTAAGCGTAATGAAGTAAAATAAATTATAGTGGAGTCCTATATAAAAACAGTGTAAAACATCGGTTGGGATATTGTCCACATAGGCAGAACATAGACATATTCTGCCCCATCCCCATCACAAGTATATTCTATCATTTATACTTTGTCACAGGCAAAGAAGTCTTTTTATATTATTATATTATGTAGAGTTTGTGCATGCTATATAATCAAATATTCCAGCTCTCTCCATGGTCTTTTATTTTTACCGGTTATTCGACAAAATAGTTTTTTTAATTCAAATCGTGCTACAGAAGCCTTTGAAATTATGATTAGTTTTATCAATATAAGGCGTGATTGACAGTTCACAGTTTAACAAGAAGTCGATCTTCTGTGAAGATATTATTGCCTCTATATGTAAAGCGTCCGATGCAGAGCTAGTTAAGGATCAATAGTATATCAAAAAGTGTCCATACAGACGGCAATTTATACTTGACGTGAATTGTTGGTAAAGTGTTTGTTATTACCGTAAATTATAATCAATGTCGTGATATGACCTGATTAAAGATTTTCATCTAAAGTCGAAATTTTGCGGAAGTTCAATTGAATGATGGGAGGTTTGGAATGTAAAGTGTTTGTTTCTCACAAAGAGAAACATGACAAGAAGAATTTACTGTCTGAGCCTACCCTTAGTGAAAGTGACATTAAGAATATTGAGGAATCATGGAAGTTACTTAGAAAGGATATAAGTAAAGTTGGTGTCGTTATGTTTATGAAGTAAGTTTACTTTATTTTTACATAACAGTTAATTATTTATCGATATGCTCTCAGATCACAATTACAAACATAGATTTCTTGGAGCATCTTCTATAAGTAAAAAATGGTTTTATACTTTTTTGTACAAAAAAGTTACCACATCTTTCCCTCAATAAACACACATACACAAATTAATTTTGATATAAGTAAATGAAACTTGAAACCTCTACATATTATAGAGGAAAATTCATTGCTCGGCAAACACATTTTTAGTTCGATCGATTTCATCACGAGAGTCCTTTCTTTTCTAGAAATCCACAAAGTATTACGTAAGAATAACGCCTGAAGTATTTTATTCCATCGCTTTAGACAAAAAGGTTGTCTTGACTTTGGTAAAAATATTGCATTTGGAATAATGTTATATTTTGAATGAATGTTGATTAGTAAGTTAACTTGCCGTCGACCAAGAAAATCAATCTCAAAATTTACCTTTTTAAGATGGTGAAATTCATTTTAATATTGATTTAGACATTTTTGATGAAACTGTAACAAACATCCCTTATAAGACAGTTAACAGCTTCAGGATTATGAAAAACAAGTGATCTGCTATCATCAACTTCACTGAATTTTTGTGAAGAAACGTAAGCAATAAGTTATCAACATATACAGACAAAGGTTTTAAATCTGAAGGATTTTATCACTTAATATCAAGTCTGTCTTACTTTGAAAAATATAATATAGTCAAAAAAGCAAGTGCAATATGAAACCCGTTTTTATGAAGCTTTCAAACTCAAGTAAATAGAGGGCATAATTGTCTGGTTTTTATGGAAGTAAAATTTTGAAATTCTTTTGTTGATTTGTATTGTTTTGCTTCTTTCTTTGTTTTTACGTAAAAGAAAAAGGAGAGAACTAGCTAGGAATAAAAGTATCGTTGCAATTGTCAATTTTTACATACAAATCTACTTTGTCTGCAATGACGCTTTCACACAAACATTGTCCGATACAGGTATTTGCTTGACAAATCCCACTGGATTTGGCTACATTTCGTATAAAGACTCATTAAATTTTTAATAATGTTTCGTCTGTGAAGGGTGTATAAACGAGTTCAACAGTAAGATAAATCATTTCATTTGAATAGAAATCCAAGATAGTGTGCAACATATGAATTAACAACGGAAGATTTTCTCTAGAACATGCAAGCAGCTCTGCTTTGTTTACAAAAAGATCCAATTGAGTATCATCTCAACTCATTAACATACCACCAAGACAAATGGCCTGCATATGATCCATCCTAGCAATAAACTGAATATTGAGGGACATTGATGTCTTATCAATCTCTGAAATGAAGAGGAGTCGGTCTATGTCCCAGTAACGACAGGTTCCAGTAACGAGAGTGAGACCAGTTTATTGGCTGACATAGACACTAGATATCTGTCAAATAAAAAGCACATAAAAACAGTTTAATCTCTATCACCTAATCTCCTTAAACTCCTTAATGTGTTACTTTGTTTCGAATTTTTCTCACCTAATCTCTTAACCTAAGCTCCTTTTATACTTGACATTGCTTTCAAAAGGCTTAGAACTGTGATGAGGTTTCAGTTTATTAACTTCTTTGTCACCTGGTGAAGCGTTGAGTCTTTGTAAAATCTCTGAAATATTGAGATAAACCTGTTGACTTAATTGTTTTTTTCCAAGATATTCATCGGCAATCTCTGTGTTATAGCATCAGGGTATGACGTCATTGAGATGTTTTCATTGAAAATGACAAATAACAGGGTACAATGATATAAATGAGAGGGCGTTTAATCACTTATCCATGATTATAGCATCTGTTAATTACGTGACCAGTCCTTCGAATTGAAGGGGCTTGTCTTCAAAATTGATAAATATAAAATGAAAACATAAAATTTTGAATATTCATTAAATACACTAAATGTTTTTTTAACAATCCATTTCTTTCAGACAAGAACTGTTTTAAAAATGCCACACCATTTTATATAAGTTATTGTACAAAGACAAGCCCCGATGGTACAAAGGTCAAAACACTAAGTATTATTTAGAGTACGAGTTTCTTACTGTATCAGAGATACAGGGCGGGGCTTGAGGCGAGAGCGATAGCTCAGCCGGGCCCCGCCCTGTAATACAGTGTATTCTAAATGACTTGTGACATGACCTTTCTAAGGACCTCACTAATTTACATGCGTATTTGGGTGTATACCTCCCAACCAATCAGATGATTTTGCAGAAAGTTGATTTAGTATCCCATTTTAAGCATTCTCAACTGAAATGCAGAGCGAGATGGACGTGCAGGTATCTATCATTTTAAAATTATTTAAGAGATGCATAAATTAATTTGTTTTCCAAAAATTTTTATTTAGATTTGATTGCGCAGGGCTTTTTTTCTCTATGCAGCTCTTGCTGATCTTTTGATGACATTTTTTTATAGTTTAAGCTATGATTTAATGCAAAACATTTTGATATATAAGAATCATGTGGGAATATTTTTGAAACAAAAAATGATTCTGAGAGAAATGTCCGACAATGTCCTCCACCGGTCGTCATACACAAAATTGAAATAAGCAGATGAAAGGAAAGGGGGTGGGGGTATTTTACTTCACGTTTTCATTAAAATGTAGAGTAACCAAACGGGGATACAACACTCACTGGTGCCCCATCCCACCTTTGAGTTTTTTTTCTTTTTCGCTTTCTTAATTTTTTTTTTCTAAACTTGTATACATACGGTTTTTAATTCATCAACAAGTAACGAAATGACGCACATAGGTGTTGGTTGATTATAAATCTACCCCCACGGAATACGATTTTCCGTTGTTTTTTTTTTGTTTTGTTTTGTTTTGGTTTTTTTAGGGGGGGGGGTTCAAAGTAATAATTTGTGAACTGTCCTTTCTAAAATTTTTGAATCCGACATTAATACCTTTACGTTGTAAAATTTTACTTTTAATTCACCTAAATTTTTGAGTAAATACGAACAGTTCTATGGCGAATTGAACGATTGGTATGTCTGTATACGGATACAGCTTTCCGTCATCGCTAAAAATAAACCGTACTGTATCGTTGATATTTTGCAGATACAGTACAGTTTCTGCTCATTTGCATAAGAAACGCCCACAAAAAGTGTTCTGTATCGCAGTTACAGTATGCTTGACTTCAAAGGAAAACTCGCCGGGTCATGTCACAATGAAATAAAGGCACACTGGGAATCTCTGTTGTACACCATTAGTTTATGGTTCATTATCCATTTTCAAAATGGTATTGTAATATCAAATGAAATTGTTTCCACTTCTTTTACAGTTTATTTCAAACCCATCCAGAAGTTCAAGATGCATTTCTGCCATTCCAGCAACTAGCAAAGGAAGATATGGAACACAGTGCAATCTTACGGTCACACGCCCTCCGTGTGATGGGTACAGTCGATAAATGTCTGACTCGGATACGTACGCCGGAAAAACTCCAGAATCTCATGCACGAATTGGGAGAGAGGCATGCTAATTATAGCGCTAGACAGGAATTCATAGATGTAAGATTTCATTATATTTCGCAAATAGCTTTTATCTATAAGAATTAACAAAACATATTGCTCTCTGTTCGTGTCATTCATACTCCTAAATTTCCCAATAATAGTCGGTAATTTTGGTCGATCAGCGACCACTGCAGAGCGGAGAAGGTGATATCCTCCACAATAACCCAAGATGATAATCTATAATTTGTACATTTTATGTAACAGGAATTTCCGGTTTTTGTGCTTCTATTAATTTCATTTTGGCGATAATATACCAATTGACTTCCTTTTATTAGGAGATGTACTTCTTGACACAGTATTTTACAAAGCGACACTATTCTCAGATGTGATGTAAATCACAGATCAAATAAATCTTTATCTATCCCATATGGTTTGATCGAATCAAATACGTCAAAAAACGCAAAATCAGAATTAACAAATGTTCATTTAGAGTAATAAAATGTACAGGGGCAAACAAGTTTGGTAAATAATAAGAAAACTGGGTTGAAGTATGTCAACAAAAAAGTAAAATTACACGCAAAAAAACCGTAATTCCAAACTATGGCAACAGTTTTAGGGGTTTCCAGAACAGTATCAATTAATTATTTTTATCCTAACATTGTATTATTGAGGGATAATCTTTGATTGTAAATTCATAAATTATCATATCAATAGTTTAAAAAATGAAAAAGGTCAAGATTGATCTCAGCTAAATGCCACTTTATTTTTGATGCATTAAATGTTATGCATCATTAGTAAAGGCGAGTTAAACTCAGTTTTTAAGACGTTGGTAATGGAACTAGATGGAGATAACGAACAATATTCATACTCAGAAGTCCGTTAAACAATACAAATCTTGGAACATAGCATACACGGACCTCTAAAGCATCAGATATGGGATCAAGTGCCATGGAGGAGTGAGCATCCCCTGCCAATCGGTCACATCCGCCATGTGCTCCTTGTCATGATCGGGAAATAACTGAAAATCCGTCGAGTCCAGTATGGTCTAACAATTAGTATGAAAAACGTCAGTCAGCATTTGGCTTAATGAAATTTCTAAGTTCTGCTTCTACAATGCACTTGGATACCACCTGACTGTCGCTTTTTTTCTCAAAAATAAAAACTAAACTTAAGAAACATTCTTTTTCACATTATTTTCAAAAGGTATATCAATTCTATCTTTATCCGTGTTCAAATGTTATATTTATTGAATGTTAATTATACATGTTCAATGAATAGAAGATAAAATCGTTGTTAAAATTTTATTCATGTTGTGTTCAACAATATCTTAAGTATTAACTATACGGAAGAAATGTAATGAAATTGTATATGATTAAGATACATGTCTTTGATTGGTTCAAAAGTTGTCTATCATTATCCCAAGGATATAACTTAAAGATATAGCAATGGGTACGATAAAAAAAAAATGAAAAATGGGGAAAAAAATAGTTTAGTCAATAGAAATACTAGATCACCTTGAGTTATTTATTAAATTTGATATATTAGAAAGTATAATTAATCAAAATACCTATGTTTATACTATAGTAAAGCAATATATCAAAGTCCTTCTTAAAATAAAGTTTCTTAATAAGATTTTCATCTAATTAATACATCATTTTCCTTAGATCTCAAATGAAATTTTCTATAATTAATGGACATTTTACTGCATATATCTTAGAATTCACATATTGATAAGATATTAATTCTCTTAAATCTCAAAAAGTGCAAGAGTAAGGTTTCAAAAACAATTAAAAAGGTAGAGTAATATTTTGAAATAACAATAGAAATTAATCATAATACATGTAATGAAGTAAAAGGAACACATGGCAGTTATGACTGATCAGCAGATGGTTCCTTCTCCATCGTGGCCCCTGAACCCCTGGTTATTGTAGAGTTCTGTGTTAGCTCTGCTCCCGAATTACATTGTTTCAATATATTTTTAAGCTTGATTATTTTAAGTTCTAATGTAGGTTTTTTTGTAAACTGTATATTATTACAGTATGTAAAACTGAAGTACCTGTAGTATGCAGCAGATGTAGAGACTTTGAAGATCTATTTGCATCCTTATGTTATTAATCCTTTGGCTTTTTTGTGTTAGAAAGGATTGAATTATCAAATCTGTTGTATAATATCGCTGATTTACGATTCCAAGGTTATTCTTTCCAACATTTTGTCAATATTTTCATTGGTAGTCCTATTCTTGTATCGTATAATCAAGGTTCCTTTATAAAATCAATTTCATAAATCGTTGTATACAGCATTATTGAATTCATTACCGAGTTTCAATTTCTTTCAGCTGGTGGGTTCCCAATTTGTGTACGCCATAAAACCTCATTTAGAGGATTGTTGGAGCAAAGAATTGGAAGAAGCATGGCTTCAGCTATTTAGGGTTATGTCTTTCCACATGAAGAAAGGAATGAGGGAATCCAACGTCATTACATACTAGATTACAGTTAGATGAATAGAGTTCTCCGTTTTAGGTCATGCTGCCTTATGGAAAATCTTATTAACGCTCCATCCTTTCAATGACTTATTATTTGCACGAAGATGCAATTATGACATCGAATCCGTCTTGACAATGAGTATAGAAACTATTGTTTTTGCGCGTTAATTGTTGTTGGCGTAAATTTATTGTTTCTCATTATTATATTTGTTCCATTTGAAATTTGAATCTACTTTGTGTTTTGAGTTTTCTATTATAGAATGAATGTTTGCAATAACATTTTGAATTCATCTGTTATTGAATAGGAATTACATATTCATAAACATTTTTAATAATTTTTGATTCCATCACAACCAATATCACTTTATTTTATTTGAATTTTAGAAACCATCACTTTATCATACTCTTCTTATGTACACTCAAATCAGTTAATATGATAGTTCTTTATGTTTTAATCTCTTTTCCCCAAGAGCGTTTGTAAAAAGCAATTACTGAGAAAAAAACATGTACATAAAGAACTGAATGTTGTATTTGACTGCTTGTAAATGTGTTTCCTCTTTATGATATGAAATAAATTTACATTACAGGTTAAATATGTGTGCATATATATGTCATATAGTATACATATTTTGACTTTTAAGATGTTAGACAGGATAGTAAAAACATTTACAAGAAAATTCTTACAAAAAATCAAAATGTTTACTCATTGTACATTATTCAGCACAAACAGTGTTGTTCGTGTTTTATTATTGTGTTTGTTAGATTATTTTCAATATTTGTATAAAAGATTGTAAGATTATCTTACAATGAAATAAACCAGAAATAAAAGAGTGTAAAATTTTGAATTTCTTTTTTAACTATAAAGTCATACTATACTCTAAGTCTGTTTTCTTTCTTCCATGGTACGTAATTTACAGACTTGAAATCAATATGGTTGCTCCCCCGTGGATCTCTATACAATTAGTCCTATATAGCTGTAAATTGGGTAAAACTAAATGAAACTCGTTAGAACCACTTCCAAAACGAGGAAAAGATGAATACAAGTTGATATATTGTACCTCCAGATCAATAAAGTTGTTTACATGGTGAGGATGCATCTGCTTACAGGATCACTTCATTAAGCAGTAAACATTTAAATGAACTGCAATAAATAACAGTTTTCTTATTTCAGTCTTTTCTCATGAACGGGACAGATTAACATCAGTTTAAAAAGTAATTGGTATGTTTCGTAAAAATGAATTTAAAAAGCATTTAAATGCTTATGTTTTTTTGAAAAGTTAAATTTCCCAAGGAATGTTAGATTTTTTTTTAAAATGAGTTTTCCCTGTCAGTGAAACTTCAGTGAAACAAATACTTTAAAATTTAATCCAGTACTTAGGCAATACAGTAAAACTCGTTAAGTACGAACACGGATATAGCGAATTCACGGATATAACGAAGTCATCTTGGATCCCCAGCTATATAAATTTAATGAATTTCTTATACAGTTATAAAGACTTACGGACATAGCGAAGAATTTTTATAGGTCTCAGCGACTTCGTTGTAACCGAATTTTGCTGTAATGCAATAATGACATGTTGTATGACATATCTGCTTGATTTATTATAAATTTGATAAATAGAACATCTTTAGTGGAATGGGGCCTATGACAACTAAAATAATAGACTTTTCAATTATTAAATTGCTTCGATCGATTAATAAAAGCCACGACCAAGAGAACATTCAAAAAGAAAATTCACACCCATGTCTTCCTACTGTATTGTCAGAAATATCCACAATATAGGCGTGCTCCATGTATATTTTTGAAACGGGATCTATAGTCATGAAAATTAAATAACAGTTGGGGTTATATCATGCTTACAAGCAGCAATATTTCTTTATAAAAATCTATAAATTATTAAAATCTGTTAAGCGGACATAAAACACGAACCTCTGGAAATTTCAAAGGTGGGATTAGGTATCAAGGAGGAGTAAGCATCCCCTGTCGCCCATCGTGAGCCTTATAAGATTATTAAGACTATATTTTACTACTTTTGATATTACTAATATATTTGGGTGAAAAGATAATAGCAACTTTAAAATTAAAAACGGCTTGTCATTTTACTTTTCATGTGCAAGAAGTTATAATTTCGATAATTGATACTGATGCTTAAGAAATATGATCTCAAACATTTTTATCGAATTATTGACACTTAAATCCATCTTTTATAGTTAAACTTTATTCATAAAAAAATGTCTACATCTTATGATGGAAATCTGGTCACATTCAGTAGCACTTTCTTTTAAAAGTGAACACTTATTGTCTCGTTTTAATATAATCAAATGAAAATGGAGAGCTTTGAACTAAACTCAAGATGAAAAACTACATCTTGCATTTCCTTTCATCTATCAATTGTCGCCCTCGTGGCGCAATGGTTTAAGCGTCTGCTGTAGAGTCGCGAAATAAGGAGTCAATCCTTGCGTCGCGGGGTCGAATCCCACTGTGGGACGTGGAGACCGGACCTTTTGGATGAGACCGGATAAACCGAGGTCCCGTGTCGCAGTGGGTGTTGACAGTCTAAAGAGCCTTCGCTGCTCAATGACCCTAAGTGCCTAGTGTAAGACAAAATTTGCAGCTCTACAACGGCAAATGGTGGCTTCTCCATATGAGTGAAAATTCTCGAGAAGGACTTTAAACAACAAATAAACAATTTGTCTTTCAATTTTTGGTAATAATGAAATATGTGATTAGGAGCAGTTATTCCGCTCAAAAGTCCCTTAAAATAATGCAAAATGTGAGCAGAACAACAAATAAACAATTTGTCTTTCAATTTTTGGTAATAATGAAATATGTGATTAGGAGCAGTTATTCCGCTCAAAAGTCCCTTAAAATAATGCAAAATGTGAGCAGAACAATCAGGACTAATAAAAAAGAACAACAGGGGTCAGATCAGGTAACATGGAAGAGTAAGTCCTTCCTGTCGATCTGCTCCTTATGTCATGTCTTCTTTGATATATCTGTATACGGAGAAATATGTACTCAATAAAGTATGAAAATAATAGCTTTACATTTAAAAAAAACACACACACACTCGACCTTACCAAAGATTTTCTCTCAATGGTGTTAATAGTATTAACCAAAAAAATTGCAATATGACTTCAATGAGATTTTATATAGTCTTGAATCATCAAATTATTTATCAGTAGCCTGCTTTGTTTAAAAAAATATTAATTTAGCATTTTTCACACTTGTGTATCGAATTAGCATTGTCAAAAATGGTCAAATCCTTTACTTTTCGCAAAAGCTGATGTGTGTTCACATCACCTCTCTCTCTCTCTCTGAAATTGAAATAAAATAGCCATTTCAAAACATTTTAGAGGAAATTTGTTTTTTAACAAACAATAACCCATGTATATTGCATACAGTATCTCCGGTAATCATGAGATTAATAATATTTTTATCAGTAATCGTCCATCGACAGCAAAAAGCATGTTTCAGTTTCATGATAAATAGGAGAGATAAACTATAATGTCAACCCACTGTTCCGAAAACAGAATAGAGATTTTTTATCTCGTATAATGTATATCCTAGACTTGAGGCGATTAATGTTGAAATCTTACCTACTAGTATTTCCATCTGCACGAACAAACAATCATTTCTCCTTTATAATTGTACATATTAGGTTTTGTTTAGACCCTTAGGAGTCAGTTACAGGAAGAGAAGTCGTCTCTATATGTTCCAATTAAATGACGCATTGAATTCTAATATTTATTATACCGAGCCCTACATCCTGCGATGTTTAAAAATATGCGTCGTGTATTATGAAACAGCATAACTTCATTAAAGACTACCACTTATAACTGCAAATTGCATAGGACATTTTCTTCTCCTAATACATACGTATTGATGTATCAATGATAATTGATTTACTTTTGGAGGAATGGAAGAGATTCCGGAATATCTAGTTATGGTGTTATTCAAATAAGCCTATAATGATCAGAAGATGTTCAAACATAACAGTTAAATAGGATTCAATAGCTTGTCTATTTTAGCATGAGTACTTAATAGTAACAATGGAACTTGCCATCAAATGTCAGATAAGAGAACTAGGTTAAGAATCTCGAAATGTCTTCTAGGCATAAGATTTACATAAAAGCAATCGATGAACATCTTGGATGTCCATTATTCAGTATTCAAGTCTTTAAAGGTCACATTATATTCTGCATTTACTATCAATCTTATTTTTCAAAAAGTGAAATCACCAAATCTTATTCAAGAAATAAATAAGATTTTAAAAAAATGGGGGGGGGGGCAAAAATATTGCTTGCTGGGTATAAAAGATTGTGATTCCGACCAGTTTAGCCAGTCGATCGGGAAAGGGCAATCCAAATTTCCCCTTACATATGGAAATGCTGTATATGACCAAACACAATGTGTTGTATTTTCTAATTCAATTTTCATCGTCGACGTAAATTTTTTTTCTTATTATGTTGTATTGAAAATATCATTTTTAAAAAAACTTTCTCTTAAATATTCTTTCAATGTAATTGTTAAATAAGCACTTAGTGGAGAAAATAATCTTACCGATAAAAATATGAGCAAATTATGAGCAACATTCGAAACTTTTAAATCTATAGGACACAAGTTCGCGTTTATAACATTTCTATAAACTATATCTTAACCATACATCAAATGAAGTGCTATTCACAATACTGTATTAAATGATCTAACCCAAATAACATCTTACAATATTTGTTTAAAATGATATTGACAGAAAATCATCAGAGGCCATTCAATGTTATTAACGAGACAAAACAATCACATTCCCTCTGAAATTAGATTATCAGTCAACGATATCACCGGATGTTACACGCCAATGAACATGTTAAAATTATTTCTTAGGGGATCTGGAAACAAATACAATTTATTGTATGAATATCATTTTGCATTTTTTTTCATTACAGACATGAACTTTCTGTGTGTGTAATATAATTTAATGTCTTTTATTAAAATAACAGCGATTATTGAACTGATTGTAAAATACTATTACACAAAAGAACATGATAATGGACGACCTGAAACCCTGCCGAAGGTTATAGAAAAAACGTTTACGATCATTTATGAAGAATAGAAGAATTCCTTTAAATGGTAACTTATCAGCTGAATTTTAATTAATCGGTAGAAAATTGTACATCTGTTTTGTATTTGGACATTTAACTAGAGAAAGCCTTTAATGGTTCTCATGGTTCTCTAAAAACCAAACTTTATGATAAAAGTGATGACTTTAACTTTTCAGTCATCATCCCTTATCTACAATGTATGCATCAATATACCTTGATCACCTGCATACTGGGTTTAGAGTATGCATTACGTATGATCAATTTCTCAAACGAGGAAAATTATTGACAAACAAGTTGATGAAACAAGAATATCAGCAGTATTGCTAAAATACATTATTTCGTGAATTTTATGGTCGATACATTGCATTTATATAACGTCAAATGCTGACTGACGTTTTTCATACTGATTGTAATGCCATTATTTACACACTGAATTATTTCCCGCTCATGACAAGGAGCACACGACAGGTGTTGTGACCGGTCAGCAGGTGATGATTAATCCTCCATGGCACCTGATCCCACCTTTGATGTTTCAGAGGTCTGCGTTTGCTCTGCTCCATAATTTGTATTGTTTGGTGCACTTTTAAACTTTAATACTCTTCTTATCTACATATACATGTATTTCATTAATTTCAATTTACAGGTTAGTTCTCAAAACTCGCTGAGAACAGAAGCCAATTATAAGAATAAAATGAGGCACACAAGGGTTTCATATATTCAGTATAAC